AAGAATGTCAAGATTTTTCAAGAGTCTAAGGTATGTGTAATTCTTGCAATACGTGTACTGTAATATGCAAAATGTAAGCTTGAATATTCCCTTTGTAGGACGTAAATTAAGTTAGATGCAGTTCACCTTGCCTGCGAGTGCCTTTATAGTAATAAAAAAACAAACAAACAATCCAACAAAAAAATCAAAAATCAAAAAATCTCAAACAGAAGGTAAAAAATATAAGGGCCATCCATTATAAATCCACAGCACCCCAGGTCAAAGACTTTTTTGGGGGGGTTCTTCAAATCAAATTTCTTGGGGGGTAAAACGTGTCCGCGCCTTTGGTCTTTTGATATATTTTCTGAGGGGTGAGTCAAAGATCACTAAAATTCTGAGGGGATTAATGTGTCAGCACCTTTGATCTATATTTTTCTAGGGGGGTGTTGTGACATAACCTCTCGGTTTGCACATGAGGTCATCAGTCGAAAAAAATTCTAAAATCACAGACACACAACATTGCAACACTAAAATATCTTGAAGAGCATGATAGAAGTTCTCTCCGAAGTTTAAACTTAACGTTCAAAAATGTCATGCAATACTGTCACGCGACTTGAACGAGACAAATAAACCTCAGAAAGCCTATTAATTTGAAAACAAGTATAGCCTCAGCATTAAATTAACGCTGTGTCTATATGGCCGGTTACAGGTCAAGGTCTTGAAAATGCTAAATGGCCGGCAGCCCATAAAATGTGTTTTTTCCCTCTCTTATTATCTAAACAAGCTTCCAAACTCCAAAATAAAACTCTACGAGTAAAATGAGTGTGTTAAAACTTACATAAACGTAGCGCTGAAATTCGTTGGCAAATGGCCGGCAGCTCATAAAATGGCAGGCAGCTCATAAAATAACAGATTTCTCTTTTATTAAAATTCTTATTTAAAGAGTTAAAACAACATAATCAACATTTCTGAAACTTTCATGATACTGTAGTTGTGAATACTGAGCAAACGATTTTTGGAATATAAAAACTAGTTGTTATGTCACACGGATCTTGTATTTGCCAAAATGACAAGGCTTCATTAATGACAAAAGCAAATAATTTTCACTTCAATGACTGCATTTAATTAAAACAAATCCTGCTATAAGTATAAGGCACTAGCTACATGCAGTCTTTGACTACGTATTTTTTTATTTATGATCTTCTTTGAGAGAGTTTTGTTTAAAACAAATAAACACTTAATAAACTTTTACAGTGTTATCCAGCCGGCATTCAGAAGTAAAGTACTAGATGGCAGTTTATCACTGGTTTCCGGCTTTTATTGACACCCCTGCGAGTGATATTATAGCTGTTATAAATACTTGCTTAAATTTTAAGTTTCTTTCAATCCCTTGAACTACTATAGGATTGTGCAACAAAATCAAAACTGGACTCAAAACTTTCTGAGGTAAAAATGAATATTATTGTTTTTAATAATATTATAAAATCTTTTCAAAGATTTTGAGTAGCCTTTCAATAACTGTCATTATTGTTATTAATAATATTATTGTCCTAGAATGTTATTGATTTTTGTGTCTCTTTTCATTAATTTTTATTTTTGTTAAATATTGTTGAATTGAATGTGTATTCCTTTTATCTGCCATTTTCTTTCAAGTCYGAGCAAGAATTTGATTCTGGTGAGGAAGAGAATGCTTACCAAAAGTTGATTGGTTCTCTTGGCACAAGTACAACTCAGCCATTCTTCAAACAGTTGATAGAGGAAGACAAGGATATGGATGAAGACAATGTCAGTGATGATCAAGGTTCAATTGAGAATGGTGATATGGAAACAAATGATATGACAGAGGAAAATGTCAMTGTAAGTAGTTTTGATTACAACATGACTGGGCATCTGATACATGTAGGATGAGCACCTGCAGAATCGCATCCAGGAGTAAGTTCCTCTACACCCTATTTGGCATATTTTCCACGCAATATTGCTGTATGTCAAGAGATTCATAAAATGTTCTACAGAAGGGATAGTAGTGAAGATCTGAATCTTTTGTTATATTTTGTRTCTGTGCCAGATGGCACCCAGAAATTTTCAGAGTATCGAAAATACTCTTTATAGTAGATATGCTTGAAAATGCTCTATAGATTGGTGATGTGATATGATTTGAAAATTTGCAACATAGATTATGCATGTGAACTGAGCATTAGTAGATAGCTTGAATTTTTTGAAAGTTACAAAAAATATAAAGGGTGAAAAAATTGTAATTATTATCAACATAGGAAAGAACATTGTCAAATATGAAACAAGTTTAACATCAAGTATTTAACATAAACTTGTACATTGCATTACATTTGCTAACATGATATTGATGGTTACGTTTTGGATTGATTAGCAGGATCATTCTATAAACCACACAGAAGAAATTAAAATCAATAATGAAGATCATAAAAACTTTGAGAATGATGGCAAAGCAGCAATTGAAGATGAAAAAGAAAAAGATGATGATGATGATGATGATGATGATGATGATGATGTAGAGAGTGATGATGAAGATGCTCAAGTAAACTCTAACATGGATGGTACAGGTATAATATAGAGATCCTTAGTTTGTGTTATAATCAACTGGGAAATTAGTACAGCAACCATGATGCAGATCGATGCTGCTTGACTTTACCAATGCTCCATTTCAAATTCAAATTGAAAAAACAACGCACTGGTATGCTACAGTGCTATGTTATTTACCGGGTGGGAGGTCCGTATAGGAAAACACTGCCCAAGGTCTTGACAGTACAGAACAAGCGCAGCGAGGTCTGTCCTATACAGACCTCGTATGTATTTTATGCAACTTTGCTCGCAGCATAGCTGCAGGATACCGTCGGACCGGGCAGATCGTGAAAAACCGGACCACGCGCTAGCCAATGACAGCTCGTGAATGACTAGGATACCGGCCTGAAAAAAACAATAAACAGTATTACCAAACATGTTGCCATGCGTGTATATTGTCATAAAGGGACCATGGCAATATTCATGAAAGTTCTAACTTTCCCCCCTAAAAAGTGCTGCTGTGCACACTGGTTGGGTTGGGCTGGGTTTTATATTCTAGATGTAGGCTGGCTTTGTTCAAATCTTAATCAGGGTGTGGAGAAGCAGCCAGATTATTAATATGAATGAATATCATACAGACACRGGAAATATTGACAATTTAAATTATATAAATAGAAATGACTTCATTTTTCATGGTTAAACAGATTGTCAGGATCCTTTCACTGTACACTTTGAGCAAGATTTGGASGAATCTACATTGACAAAAATAACTGAAAAGTCATATTTCAAGAATTCAACTTTATTGGTAAGGTTGAATGTTGTACTAGTCAATCCAATGCCATTTCCAAAGCAACTTGGTGACTGCAAAAAATATTGAAATTGGTGTTTAATAATAGTGATGATTTTTCGTAAACACCAACGAATAGTGCTCAATACACATTTGTGTAGAGCGGTATAGACTTGGTAAAGTATTGGCGTTATTATGATATTCATGTACTTAATAGGTTCCATCTCTTGGAACAGTGACAGTATCACAGCCAACATTTAATGCTCCTGTTGGAGAGATTGCACCTRACAAATGTCAGGCATTGTTCAAGGTAAGGGTGAAATAGTAGAGAYAAGGTGCTAAACCATGTGAAGTGTACTTGAAAATAATAGTGATGATCAAACAAGTATATCCTGTACACTGTACTTGCTACTTTTCATTGACATGTCAACTACTTGAAATATTGAAGTTTGGTCAACTCCTATTTTTTATGCCCTATATATCTTGGGCCTCCTGTCCTTTTGTGGGGAGCCAAGAGAATCAAAGTGACAATTGGTGGTAGCACCCTCAGCTAGAGTCACTGTCACAAAGAAAGCCCAGTGGAGGAAAATAGTTAATAAGACCCAATTTGCAGAGCAGAGTAATTAATGTAGCATTTTCCGTTCTCAGGTGAAAGAAAAGTTATGCAAAGCTTGGGTAGATTTCAATGAAACCAGTGGTAATAATGTAGTTTCTATTATCATGTCCATAGTTGCTCTTGTTTGTATTTAACATGTATAGATTCACTTGTCTATGACAATGCTGTACACAACAGAAGCTCAGACAAGTATCAATATTCAACTTCAAGCAGTACCTCTAACTTGGCCACTCTAACTTGTATTTTATATTTCTTTATTTATTCACCATGCTGCTAAAGGAGAACTTTCAATGATTAATGTTCAGTAGTTGCTTGTTCAATGTTGTAATGATTGTTGTTGTTGGTGGTGGTTTTGATGTTCCTTGATATATTCAGTGTATTGGACATGCATGTTATTGTATTTCTGCAGATGTATTCTCTCCTGTGCAGAGKGATTTGTTTGGTTACATGAACAAATACCAAGTGAGTATGATTAGCRGATTACCAGACATTATTAGCTTTCAGCCCTTGGTATGTTTGTCAGTCAGAATGTTCATCAAAAGTGTACTGTACAAAGACCTTGCCAATAGACTTAATTGGTTTCTTTTTTTTCCCACACTTTGTACCAAGTGATCCCAGTCTTTGGAGCAGGAAAATCCATCTTTCTAGGGCAACTATCACAACAAAATGCCCGAGATTTCAACCGCTCTATTGTATTTTACTATTCCACTATCGCGTCACATGGTGGACTCTCCACCAACAAGAGCAGAGGAAAAATTTGTTTTTGAATTATAGTGGGTCGATATGACCATTACAGGGATCCCAAAGGAAAAAGAAGTTGCCTGGGGATATTCTATGGTCACCAAGTCACGATGATATCCTTGCCTGAGCTGACCAATAATGTTCGATGATATTAATATTATTTTATGGATGTGTTCATAGGATGTGTTCTTTACTAATCGTGATTTCGACAATGGAGAAGAAATWCGTCGACTATATTGTCTGCACTCGGTGAATCATGTACTCAAGTAAGTTTAAACACACTTGAGATTTCAATCTCATACAATCTCTATTTGTATCCCTCAGAGTTATTAGAGGGGAAGCAGTTCCCTCTACTAACTCTGTATCCATACTCTGATATGTGTAATTAAAATTGCCGTTTCTTATATACAGAACACGCTCAAGAGTACTCAAAAACAATGCTAAAATTGTCTTTGCTCAAAAAGAAAACAAAGAGCTTGAGTAAGTTTTTATTCAATCATGATATACAGCACAATGGCTGGGCCAGTTGATTCTCTATACTTCATTGGCGATTGGCGAAGAGTCGACAACGTGATGCGGAATTGCCGTAGTGCCCGCCGTGGATGGGTTCTATCAGTGCATAGAGCCTRCCGTTGTTGAACAATAATAACAATAGAATTGTTTAATCAGCTCTTAGAAACTGGATGTTACTCAAAACTTCATTGTCGCACAACAACGCAGTTTTTTTTGCGGAAGATCCAGTTTCTGTGGGCAACAATCACGGCATAGATCCCTCGATTCCACTATACTATTGCTTAAATATATAAACTTTAGTAAACCGCTTTACAAATTCTTTGCTCTTTGTTTCTCTCCTTTATTCACTTGATATGAATAAGTTTTGTATTTGTGTAGATTTGATTGAATCGGTTTTTTGCAGGGATCTTCGAGATCAAGGACTTACAAGACCAAAAGTTCTTATTCTGGTTCCATTCAGAGATTCTGCTTTAAAAATTGTTATTAATGTCATAGACTTGGTGATCAGTGACGGAAAGGTAAAAAACTAACATAAGAACTTTCATTTTGGTCTGTCTCTCAGCACTTTTCTTTACCTCTAGTACTATTCAGGTACTTCAAAAAAAGGTTGTCGGAAAGAAGAGCAAATGCGCAACTGAAAGTTATTGTGGTTATCGTTGCGTGACCTGAGTTTCGAACATGCTTGAATATTGGCTGCAACTTCGCGGCGATTCAATCGCCGCAACAATCGCAGGGCTGTTTACACGTACGATTTTAGTTACGCCATAGCAAAGTGGCGATTATCGCGCTGCAAAATCGCGCTGCAAAAATCGCAAGTGTAAACGGCCTTCAGAAGATTATTCCGGGCGAAAGAACCTTGAAAAAACAATTCGGAAAATTTAATTTCCGACCTTGCTTGGATTCGAACCCACGACCCTCTGTTTTATACTCTACCAGCTGCATGAGCTATAATGTCAGACTTGGAGCAGGTCGGGGTTATTCGCTCTCAATAACCTCAAGCACTATTTTCTATCATTTACTTTTCAAGTTTCTCATATTGCGGTCGACATATATTCATGTCAGCCTGCTGTAATTATGCATTTGACATTCTCCAGGGTCAAGTGATGAATAAAAAACGATTCATGGACGATTATTCAGATTCTGATGTCCAAGAGACGAAGCGAAGCTTTCGTCCTGTTGATTTTGAGAAGATGTTTGCCGGTAACATAGACGACTGCTTCCGTATTGGCTTGTCAGTCAAGAGAAACTCTGTAAAACTGTACAGCCCGTTCTACTCGTCTGATGTTATTATAGCCTCACCGTTGGGACTTAGAACAGTGATAGGAACTGAAGGGTTAGTATTTCAATAGCTTGAGYAAAACCGTGRACACTTGTGAAATATATTTGGAATATTTGGAGTGTTTTGTAACTCAATCTTTTGGCCGTAAATGTTGAGTTTTTAGAGAACATTCTGAGGGAAGAGGTTATGGTTTCAGGTGAATCTGATTTGACCAATAGATTCCATTTGTTGGATTGTGTACTCTAACGTGGGGCGGGGGACTGGGAGAACGGCTGCGAGGAGACTAGGGGTGCTTTCCATTCAGGTAGAACTGGGCGGCCAGTCCGCTCTATTTAGAGGTATATTATGCTTTTTGTCAACATTTTTCAGTCATTTCGAGGTTTTCTATAGAATAATGTATAGAATTGAAAATTTGAATTTCCCAACTAAATAGGAATGATATATAATGACATTTTCTCTGGGTCTGGCCAGCCAGTTCTAACAAATGGAAAGCGCCCTAGTACTCTAAGAGATACACAAAAGGCGTGAAAATGTGTTGAGAACCACAGTTACGGCACTCGACTTCGTCTCGTGTCGTCCTTTCCCTCAATTTTTTGCTAACGATTGAAATTATTGAGAGATAACAAAACACAGGTACTGGTTCGAACCAATCATAGCGCGCGTAAGATTGAATGTAATCAGTAAATAAATAAAATAAATAAATAAAGTCTTTTATTTTGAGAGGGTAGCACGTAATAGTCTCYAGACTAATAARCTTGTGSCYCWCWATATATTCACTCATACTCACTACCTCAACATTCATTATTTTACTACACGACAATCCTGACAGCTAGTTTTTGACTGAGTGAGGAAAACCAGCGGACCTGGAGAAAACCCTCGGAGCAAGGAAGAGAACCAGCCTACAAAATCAAATCACATATAGTCCCGGGAATCGAACCAGGACCACAGCGGTGATAGACCGGCGTTTTAACCGCTCGGCCATCCTTGCTCCCCGCTCAGTCGTGTACTTTGATATACGTGGTTATAAAAGCCATTGATTGCGTGGTTTGTACTTAACGGCTAAACGACACACGAACTGTTCTAAAAGATGTTTAAAATTTCAGATTTTTCKTTAAAATGTTTTCCTGTTTTATTTTTAGGGAAAAATTTGGCGACTTTGATTTTCTGTCATCCATAGAAGTGCTAATAGTTGAYCAAGTTGATGTGTTTCTTATGCAGAAYTGGGAGCATGTGCAGGTAASTACTAGTCCAAGTACTAGGATTRGGCTCAGAATAGRCCTACTTCATTATGAYGTCACATSAAAACATTMTATTGTTTTAATRCCTAAGGATTATGGTCTAGTCGTCGGAGGGATCAGAGTGTCTGGCATATTAACTGAAATGTACGTGATCAATTATGTATGCATGATATATACCAAACCAAAACTCGATTTATTGACGTTCTACTTTAGGAGACAATATACAAATGGGTCCGAATTTCCACTGTTTTCGAGCATCGCTATCCGATGTAAACTTACTGTGACGTCATAGTGAAATAGGACAATTATCTATTGAAGATTATGCTACTGTTTTACCCGGATAGTGTTCAAAGCTTTTTAAAAAATTGTATGTTTAAATTATTTAAGGAATAAAAGTACGCGTCGTGGTTTCCTACGCTTCTCTCGTGCTCTCCCTACATCCCGCGTGTTTTGATCTGAGTATCAAACACGGAATTTCGTCTTTTTATTTCTTTTCTAAAATTAAAAGAAAAAAAGAAATTTTTGACGCGCGCGAGCGTGTTTTGATACTGTAATCAAACATGGTTTTCGACCAATCACAGCGCACGTAGTATCCTAAATATTTTAGAATTAAGAATCATTGATATTTTACTATGATTTTTGGTAGCACATATTCGATCATCTGCATAAACAACCCAAAAGTTCCCATGATGTAGACTTCTCTCGTGTTCGTAACTGGTGTCTCAATGGATGGTATGTAGACTTTTATTGGTTTATATTTTCCTTAATTTCTTTTCGTTCTTGGATGTTATATGAAAATGGTTTTAAAGCTAAGGTCCGCGTGCATCCAAGAACCTTTGCGCGATTTTCTCAAATTCCAAATTTCGCCATCTTTGTTTTGGAAATGACTAGAAAACAACTAGTTACCAGTCCCTTTTTGAATTTCGGAACGGGCAATTAAGCAATTGTTTAAAATCCCTACGACAGCTGTCGGCATGTTGTAAGGATGACTTACGCACGTTGCATGCGATAAATGTGGGAAAAGTTGTGCCGTCTAATAGACCTCTGCAGCTTTTACGTCATGTACCGTATACGCAATGCATTGTAGGACATGTTTGGGACAAAACATGTCGTATTTCTTTTGTTTTCTCTTGAAACTGATCCCACAATGCATTGAAAATCAAGTAGTGACGTACAAGGATCAGAAGTCTATTCGGTCTTAAGATATCATTTGTTAAAGAAAAGAAATGTGGCAAAGGTTTCTGGATGCACTCATTGTTAAGGGGGCATGATCAACCAGCATCCCTTTCGAGCTTTTGTTTATGTTTGAAAATAAAAATACACCGTAACATAAGCAAAAAGTTAATCTTTTTTATCTTTTGTGCTTATATGAATGGATATATAGTACTTACCCGCTTATAAGAACCTGCAATTTAAGAGCCTGTTAGACTAAAAATATCAATTTACACCCCATTTACACAAGAACCTACTTAGCCTAAAATTTGAAACAGGTTCTTATAGTAAGGCTACTATAGAAATTCAGCTCAAAACTCTTCATGTAAAAATACATACTCACACTGTAGTGAACTTGAACATGTATACACATCTGAATTTAGGCTAAATTTGAAAAAAAGGGTTCTTATAAGCGGGTACTGTATTGTATGATCCTGTTAYATTGTAATTTGCCTAGCATTTTATCTCGTAGTCACCTCGCAGCCGTGTTTAGTTTCGGACACGCCGTTGGTACACAAGTTGMTGAAGTGTCTCGCAACTTCTTATTTTTTGTTGCACGTAGCGTTGCACGAAGTAAAACTCGGGTCTACTTTTTGCAACACTTTTCAGCAACTTGCAACGCCATTACACAGTGTATCGCCCCTCCAGTAACTTTTCTTACGCCATCTTAATTCTTCGTTTTCACTATGCGTYACAGCGGCCATCTTGGAGGAACTTCAACAAAGGATTTTTCATTACTATTTATTGTTCATTCCTCCAACATGGCCGCCAGTCTTTTACCTTTTGAATCTCATGGGAATGGGTGAAAACGATCAATTATGGCCCCAGCTTACTTCAGTCAACGAAGATATCGTAAGATTCTGAMGTAAATTTTACAGTGTAACATGGCTATAATTGATTTCGGCAAATTGCGTCTAAASGGCGTTGAAAGACAAGTTGCTGAGGAAATTCCACAGTGTAACATTACCTTAAAAAATGGTCCGAGTAAGAAGCAGGCAAGCAAACGGCAATGGCATGGGTAGCCTAGTGGTTAAGCTACTGGCCTCTCACCGCTGTGGTCCGGGTTCGATTCCCGGGCACGGACCATATGTGAGTTTGAGTTTGTTTGATGTGTTGTTCTCTCCCTTGCCACGAGGGTTTTTCTCCGGATCCTCCGGTATTCCTCCCTCAGTAAAAATCAACATGTGAGGAGTGTTGTGTGCTAAAATACTTAATGTAGAGGTAGTAAGTGTGAGAGTACAGGGTCCGCAGTAATTGGCTCACTCTGTTGCGGTGTCCCTGCCCATACTAGGGGCAAAGCTAATAAATTAAAAAAATTATGCATGAAGGTGCTAATTTTGTATTGTATAATCCATCCATGTCATTGGTTAAAACATTAAAATCTGACATAATTTCAAATGTAATCGCTTTTTTTAAAATTTTATTTAATATCTGATTCCGACTTCATAAACGCTTTCCTTAGCTTTAATATTGATAGCAATTCTATGTGGGGAACATAGCAAATTAGAAGCATTTTTTGGCTATTTTTTTTACTGCTTCTGATTGGACAAGATCTTTTTATACAAAAAAAACTTTGTTTCAAAACAGAGTATTCACATTTTATTTTAAAAATCTGTTACCCATAGGTTGATATATAATCAGTGTGAAAACCAAGACATTCGTATGTGGGGAAGTTGCAATTGYCGSMSAACAATAGAMRKTTGCCTGCTTTTTGCGCGCATTGTTACTTAAAACTGATAGGTGGAAACGGATTTCAAATGAATATATGAACTCCCCTTATTTTACATAACAGTTTGTAATAAATCTAAAATACGACCGCATTGAATGCCGGTTGCCTGTTATCCTTTAATACTCCTTATCTTGTTCTTTTATGTACATTGTCATTTCCCAGGTCAAAATACTACCGACAGACACTTCTGTTTAGTAGCTTCGTTTCACCAGAGCAGAATTTCCTGTTCAATAAGTACTGTTACAGTATCCTTTACTGAATTAATAACGATTTTAATAATGACTACAAAAATTTTCATTGGCTTTAAGATGCATCTTTATGATCTTGAGCTTGATGTTGTATGCCGAAACCATACTTGTACATATTTAAGATGCGTTAGTCTCCGTAGCAGACATTTTTAGCGGACGGGTTCAATAGTCTTCTTCACGGTTCCCCGCGCCATCTTGAAAGGTAGCCGTGCCTTTAAATCGAAGGGTCAGGTCGCAGCGYCAAAGAACATTGCYGGTAATTGGTTGGCTCAAAACAGAGTGACTCCAAAGAACGAGGCATAAACAAWAGAGCCTATTGTTCTAGCCAACCAAKCACAATGACTTTTATTTAGAGCTCCGAGACCTCTGAAATCKAAGCGAGACAACTGTTAAGAAACCTTCTTTCRCACCTACAGACAATCATTCACAGGTATCTATCATTKCACGCACAACGGGTATCTCGCTTCGATGCAAAGACGCGGCTACTTCAAGATGGCGCGGAGAACCGTGAAGAAGACTATTGTCTCCGGCACAAATGTCTGCACACTAGAGAATTAGTGTTTCGTAATGTAATGTAATGTAATGTAATGGAAATGTAATGTGCAAAATGAGCCAATCAGTGCGCAGACATTTGTGCGGGAGACAATCGAGGCTGAAGATACGTGGGCTTTCAATCTCTCGGAAGATGTAATTCCAATAGGCCGGCTTATCCAAAACAATAGAAGAAAAACAAACAAAAAAGTGTCATTGTTGTGAGTGAATTCGTTCCGAGAGAGGTGAAGACCTCTCCATTAAGATCTCTGTACGGTATGACGTATGTTGTGTCCTGGCGAGCACGAAAATAGCTGCAAATTGATATACCATAATTAYATACATGTTGTGTTATTGAAGCCTTGACCTTTGGTATATTTTGCTGGTAAAATAAAAGCACAAGTAACTAATTTACCAGGCTCTATCTGCCAAGCTGTAACACAGGTACCCCAGGTAATACACCCATTCTASTTCATCATAATTTGCCACCATCCAAAGAAGATTGGTAGTAAGGGTGACAAAAAGACAATGAATACCCTTGAGTTTAAATTATTTGTCTTTGGCTTAGACATATAATTTATTTATTCAGATCTCTCGGTCTTCTGTCGAAGACGACCTTATTCTGTGCTAAATGTTTGCAAAGATAACGTTGTTTTTGACCTCCACCGAGGTGTCCTCAAACTTGMCCGGCCCCGTTTAGTCTAAAATTTAACATTTGGCGCCCGCGGTTCTAGATTTATGAGACGTGCTTTTGCTAAAAGGTTATTGCCGGATTTCAAACCGATTGGGGACTGGGCAAAATTCCCTAATTGGATAATCACGAGATTTCTAACGAGATAAGACTTACATTTTAGAAAGAAAGCCCTTGTTGAGAAATGCAAAATTCCGAAATCTGGCGTCAATCAGTTCAATAGTGAACGAGTTACGAGCTTTCAAAAATTTTAAAATTTGCAAAGAAATGTATGGGAAGCCGCAAATGTGTCCGAATTTTGACCGGACACATTCACGGCTTTCCATACATTTCTTTGGAAATTTTAGAATATTTGAAAGGCTGTAACTCGCTCACTATTGGACTGATTTACATCAAATTTTGGAATTTTGCATTTCTCGACAAGGGCTTTCTCTCTATGTAAGTCTTACGTCATTATTACCCAATAAGAGGATTTTGCCCAGTCCCCCACGGTTTGAAATCTTGCAATGGCCACATAAAGTGTTACGGTACGATAACGTGCAATCGACGTATTTCATTATGACGTCACAGTATGTATAAATCAGCAAAGATTATCAAAAACAGTAAAAATTTGATCCCATATATTTTGATAAGTGCCATGTATTAAAGAGTGCTTATGTGAATTTTGATATGAAGTCACTCTGTTCCCCTTGGCAACCATAATGTTTAGCGTTAAAACAATGTTTTGGTGTGACGTCCTAATGAAATAGCGCAATTGCTTCCATTATAATACACCTTTTCAGTTGCACTCAGGCCTCGATAGCAAGTTAATTATTCTTTTGAATTTGTCAAATGAGACTTTTCATATCAATGTTTGCATTGCTCACATTCCTACAAATTCAAAAGAATATTTAACACGCTGTCGAGGCGTAAGAGCAACTGAAAAGGTGTATTATAATCGAAAAAAGATATACCTAATAGTCTCCTTCACGGTTATCTGCGCCATCTTGAAAGGTAGCCGTGCCGTTGCATCGAAGCGAGACAACCGTTGAGTGTGCAATGATAGAAACCTTCTTTCACACCTACAAACAATTATTTACAGGTTTCTATCATTGCACGCTCAACGGTTGTCTCGCTTCGATACAAAGGCACGACTACCTTTCAAGATGGCGCAGGTAACCGTGAAGGAGACTATTGCAAATACCATGGCACTTAATATTATTATTATAAGAACATCCATACTTAAAGAAACAGTTGCGTAAAAAGATAAAGATAACACTGTTAAAAAATAGGTAAAACAACTTACTGACTTTCCGGAATTTAATTTTTACTCCGACGAAGAATGAACGTCCGGAACGTCAGTGAGTTGTTTCACCTACWTTTTTACGGTGTTAACTTTATCTTTTTACACGACTGTTTCTTTAGAAACACTGATGCAGCTCACACTAGTTTACCGCTAGTCTCGACCATACTTTTTAAATGTTAATTATAACCCCAATTACTCATCGCGTTCTAGGTTTTCCATCAAATCCAATGTAGTTCTTTTAGTGAGGCTCCAGACAGATACTTTGAATACTTTACAAACAAGGTGAGTTAGATAAACACATCACAACTTATAGTGACTTTTTTACCAATACGGCAGCCATCTTGAACTCTATAATTGTTTTAAGTGTTGATTTATTTGAGAAGGGTTTGTCGTACGACTTCCATACATGGTTGTGCATGTACAGCGCTGATGTGCACATAGAAGGCGCTGGTGTGCTCGTAGAAGTCTCTGATGTCCCAATGATGTGGAGAAGAACTTAGAAAATTTCAAACACTTTTAAGTGTTTAAAAACTTAAACCGAAAAGAAATTTTTGAAGAACGCATATTTTGGATTTGAGGGGCTAACGAACGCCGAAGGCGGAAGTATTAAGGGAGTCTTGAAAGAATAACTCTTGTAAATGCGATTTTCAGCGTTTTGAGAGACATTGAGGGCATATAAATGGGATCAATTTTATGTGAATTTTTCAGTATTTTTGTGAAAGTTTTAATATTGCCTTGCCACTAGTACGCACGTGTGTATATGAGTAAAGGACGCTACGCGCCTGGAAACTATGGGATGTTCAGCGGGCCCTTKACAATAAATTTATTGAAAAATGCCATRCGATTGAATATTACGTGAACAACAATTAAAAGCACAACACGTTTAGATGTAATGAAGCAATGATTTAGATTTTGAAGCACGGAAATTGCCAGAGAAGGTTATTTTTTAGTACCATTTAGTATGACAATATGTGCTTTTGCATTCTGGATATCGCATAATTTTTTCAAACATCAAAATGGAGTCCGTATTAGTAAAAAGGTCTATTATATCAAAAACCTACTCAAGCACCCTTTTTTTTGCAGATACTACCTGAGTTTTCTGGAGAAGGTTCRCGTCACACCGCTGTATTTATCCCATCTTATTTTGACTTTGTTCGTCTAAGGAACTATTTCCGGAGAGAAGAGATATCATTTACTCATATTTCGGAGTAAGTTAAAATTGTGTTTTCTCATCATAGGCATAAGTCAATCCYGTTAACTGTGTTCAGTTGTGAAGACATAAAGAAAACAACTTCTTTACAATGTCAAAACATTTAATTCGCCATCTATTCGAGTCCACTCGAATTTACATTCTCCAAAAACGTAATAACGTGCCCACGAACATTAACCCATTAACTTCATGCATACTTAATTAAGCCACTGTCTTTATCTGTCTGTTTCAGATACTCCAAAAGATCAGACATCACAAGAGCCAGAAACTGGTTCAAAGATGGTRCCAAGCACTTCTTGCTTTACACTGAACGGTTCTACTTCTATTATAGGTAGGAACTCAAAYGAAACCAATGGTGTAGGATTCTTATTATACATATAGGCTTTGTATAACAACACGGCACGGTCAATGTGCCACGACTCCATTTTTTTGACAGCAGGGCATGGTGGGAATTGTAGTCCTTTTTTTTACACTTGTTTAGATTCTCGCGCGCTGATTGGCTGATTGTAGTGTGCCAATAAGTGGCATGCACACTGTGCTTACAACATCACGTCTCGCGCGCGCACTCAGTTTAAAGAAAAGAATGATTTTCGCTAATATTTAAACGTCGTTGTATGTCCTCWTATTGACACAACCTAGACGTTCATAARGTAGCAGTGAACCCACGAGCRCAGCGAACGGAYCCACTTGATTTTTTTGAACATTTTATGACGTCAAGAGTGAGTCAATAAGAGGACATACAACTCAAAATTCTACGCATGAGGACTAAAATGACATCATGGTTTGTGCAAAATGGCGTCGCTGCAAAACATTGCCTAAAGAAATTACATTACGGCTAGTGTAAAGTTTTTGCGTAGTTTGATTCAAGTGATAAATTGTTCTTTACACTTACATATTTTCTATTCAACCATTTTCTTATTCTTCATTCATTCGTTTTTTTATGTTCTTTCGCCCAAGGTATCGAATAAAAGGCATCAAAAACATCATCTTTTATGGCCTTCCACATTATGCACACTTCTATCCAGAGATACTCAACTTCCTTGATAGTGGACATCAATCAACAGCTGTAACGGCTACAGCGTTATATACTAGATATGATAACCATCGGCTGGCCGATATTGTAGGAAGCAGACGGTGCACTCACATGATGTCGGCTAAAAAGCATGTGCACATGTTTGTAGCAGGAGAACAATCCGAGGGATTATAGTCCCTTGTAAATGAGCACTTTGTAAATGTCAATGTAAACTTATGGAAAAATGTTTGTAAAAGCGAGGTGTGTAAAAGCAATATTTCATAGTCAGACAAAACTGTGGGTTTTTTTCGTTTGTTTTGTTTTGTTTTGTTTTGTTTTGTTTTGTTTTGTTTTTGTTTTTTGTTTGTTTGTTGTTTTTGTTTTGAGGGGGGGGACTTAGGATAACAAACCATTCTGTCATTAATACTAGACTTTCAGTAAGTCGTACGACTGCCATATATGGATGTCCATATACATGGTTCTCATGTACACATAGAAGGCTCTCGTGTTCCTATAGAAGGTCCATTCATTATATTTTCAAACGTATGTACCTTCACGAGGTTATTCTCATGAATGCCATTGCATAAATATCACAAAAATTCAGTTTCACCCAAGGCAATTTCTTTTCAGTTTAAGTCTAAGTCTTTGAAAATAGTCTAAGTTCTTGACATTAAAGTACAAACACTAAAACATAAATACTGCTAAATTATGCTAATTCTATGTTTTCTATTCTTAATTAACGCTATTTTGTAGTAAATAGTGGAAAGTGTTGCACACATTTAATGTTTGTACTCTATAAGAAATGTTTTGTTGATTGAAATAAAAAAAATTTCAAGGAGGTATTTCATCCTAATCTCGCGACGCGAGGACTGGACTTAGTCTTTGACAAGACCACGCTCTTTCGACAGTAAATAAACTACCCCCATACGTGATGAAATAACTTCTGGAGTGTAGGGTACGAGAATATAGACTTTAGGTCTGGGATAGGGTTTGGTTTTGAGGTCCTTGCGGCACACCCCTACTCAAGTTGAGGTATGAGTACTCACCTTCCCGCAGGAAGCCCATGTTTGCGATCTGTGATCGTTTAAATGCTGTTTGATGATCTGTGACACTAGCCTCCGATCCTCGACCCCGTTTTGGATAGGTACGTGCCGCCAGCGGTCTAAATCCCTGACCCTGTTTAAGGCACTAAAAAGTRAAAATCCATACCCTGTTCAAGACAAATCGGAAAAATAAGGAATAGCTATCTACGCAGCAACCATCAAAACTGCAATTATACTGACATCCATCAAAGACAATAAGAAGTTTTTGATARCACGTTAATTCTGGGACAGTGAAACGGTATTTCTACTATTTCTACGGTGTTATGAAAATATTACCCTGTCCAAGACACACAAAAAAATTATATCGGTCTCTTTTATATAAATTGTAGAGCCAAAAACCATACCCTGGCCAGCGGCACGTCCCCGTATAGCAAATATATGGGAGTAACCCCCCCACCCTTTTCCCCGATGCATAGCTCGCTAACGCACCGGAAACGTGTAAGCTTCGGAGGCTACTATGACAAGTAATTGGAGTCTGAAGAATTCACGCCACACTAGACATAGAGAAGAAAATACAACCAACCACGAACCACTATAACACTCTCGAGATGCCTGACAAAGATACACACACTGCAGAGATGCGGGAATTTGATGATATTTTCCAACACTTGAATTCATTTGGAAGATATCAAAAGATTGTATTCTTTTCCGTTCATATGATTATAGTTCCTGTGGCTATGCAGAATGATGCTCTTGTTTTTGGGTTCAGCACTCCGCACTTTCATTGTGTTACTCCTAATGTAACATGTGAGGATACAAAGTGTTGCTCCGATTGTAAGGAGTATGTGTTTGATGGCCCTTTTCACAGTACTGTATCTGAGGTAAGACCTTTTAGGTTTCGTTGATTAATCTGGAACTGTCTTCATTTCATGCAAATAAATACTATAGTGAATACTACATACGCATCCTTTGTTTCCTTATGTTAGGCCTGGTCGGTGTATAATTATCAAAATCGCAGAAAAATACCTTTTGAATTGTTTATTCCCAGGAAACCTGAACACTATGCAATAAGGTGTTTTTGAGAAATTGGATGGTATAGGAAACTTTATTACAGTTCAAATAGTTAAAGCAGTCATTTGCATTGCACGGTCAACGAATACAACCGGTCTTATATGCAGATTTTCATGAAATAAATCAAGTGGAAATACACAAGTTAAGCCCACGATATACGACGACCTTAACATGCGCCGAAGGTGCTAAATTAAGCAGTGCATACAAGGCCGTGTTTACATATGATGAGAGAGGATGCCATTACTCATTAGGTAGATACGGGATTGATGACTCTGGTGTTCCTCAATAATAAATTTTATTGCAATAATTTTATTCGATAATGTTCATGACCTAAAGTCACGAAATTGCGATTGAGAATTTTGTCGAGATTTTTGTTTAGAGTCCAGACTTTAAAGTGTTCAAAATAAATTTTG